TTCTAGCCCATCAGACATCTAATGGCATTTACCCCCCTATGCCTCCAGCATTCAACCATCACTCAGTCAGACATGTCATGAACTAGAAACAGTCACTCTTGTGCATGGTCTTAATCGAGCACAGTAGCGAACTCTATGCATCAACGCAAAGATCTGTGTGGCAATAACAATGATTATGTTCAGTAACAGGGTTCAGCACGTTGGAAAGGCACACTCTGAGTACTTCCTGCTTACTGAGACAATATATAATAAGGGTGACTCTTCCATCTTCAGTGGGTCACTAAGAGGTCAGTCAAGTGCAGGGAGTGATGCTTGGTCTCCCCGAGGAATATCTGGCATCTCCAAAGAGACAGCGGCAATGAATCTGAATGAAAGCCTCAAAAAGCAGACTCAACCCCATCGAGGTCCACTGTTTTCAAACTAAAAAACTCAAGATTGGGACAGTAAGCCACAAAAGCATGAGTGAAAAGACAAGAAATACAGGAAGAAGGATAAAACACTCAAGGCACCTGAGGAGATACAGTCCTTCACTTTTCTACCTAGCATTCTGCACGAAAGAAAAGATGTTCTATGCAAGCAATTAAAATCAGAAGATTTAATATCACAACAAAATTCTACAAACATCACAAGCTGCTTTTATTGCTGGATATCTTTAATTCAATGTCCATGTCTCAGTACTTAAGTACAGAATACTGAAAACATCTGCAAGGATTCCATAGGACCAGCCCTGGAAAGGCACTAGCTAGCTGACAGCCTATTTCAAGAATGTAAAGTTAACCACTCCTCTACTCACCTTTCCATAAGCATTAATCTGCACCTTTTAACTCCAAATGTCACTTCCTACTGCTCAATACCACAAGATCTTTGTGCCTGTCTTCACTGACAGCCTTTATACTACCACAGATTACCAAAGCCCTACACACAAACCTCACTCTTCAGCCTGGTTTCCAAAGTCTTTCACAAATATGCTCACTAAGCAAAACCTAGCACCGACCACTTTTAGATCACACACTTGATCACATACTCTTACCAGACAGCCTAATACTTCTATCTCCTTAAGAGATGATTTTATTTTAAGTAATTACTTATCCCTTATAGGGCCTTTACTCTTATTCCACTGAAACTCAAAACTTAGTAAAGTATTTCTAGAGCTAAGTCTTACAAACAGCAGCTCATCCTGAATTCCTGTAGAGCTCCTGGCTGAATGCTATCTAGCCCTTGCTATTTGTTACTACCCATTTTATTTATCTGCTGTAATACTACTTCTACGGACACATCAGTTTGAGACAAGATACTCCAGGAAGCCCGCTGCAAAGAAACCTTCCAGTACATGGACATCCCACATCATCTCTGGAGACAACAAGGCAAAATAAACTTCACTTTTATGCTACCTTTCTCTATTTTAAGTGCATCTTCTACATCATCCATTGGCTCTTCATATAAAAAGTTTCCTGTTTCTGACAGGTTAGAAACAAAAAATATTTTTCTACTTTTGGCAAGTTGTTTTCAGCTTATTTTTCCTTCAGTAGTATTCTTAAACATTTAACTTGCCAGGGTTTGCATTCCCCCTATTTTACTACTTTTAATTATCTCTACTGTTCTGCAGTTAATCAAAACAAATTTCCTTTTAACCTTTCTAGTTAATCACTCATTTTTAAAAACATGAGCTTTCATAGCAGTTGCTGGCTGAAACTTTCCCAAATACAGTCACTGACAAGCAAAAGCTTTTACCCTCACACCTATGACAGAGCATAGTATTCTATCTCCATTACACAAATTTGTATCAGCATAGGAGCCCAGGTAACCTCCAGCAGATATAAAGAAATCACTTTAAGCTGCTTCCAGAAAAATCATCCTCTCACACATATGACAGATCCTTGGCCATGGGAAGAACATATGATGCTAGGAAAATCTAACAGAAGTACCAAGAGTCTAAAACTTAATTTGGCATGAAGAACTTAGAGGAAAAAAATACAAACATTTAAACAGAGAGCTCTGGCTTTCTACTGGTTTTCAGTTCTCTAGTAAAATCTCTTTGCTTTAATTAAGAAACAGCCAAAGGAAACAGTTTTTTATTAAATCATTGGCCTCCAGAGCTATTTAGGAATTGGTTACTCCTAGGAAAATTATGGTAGATGGTAAGCATGAAGTAAATTCACATTTAATAGGTTTATGATTTTTTCAAACCTGAAAATGGGTTTTTGGGAGACAGGAAAATGGATAAAACAAAAGAAGCTGCAACAAGTTTCTCACAGCTTCACTTCTTTGGCTTTACAACCTTCCAGAAAAGTTAAGATTTGGCTGAAGTGACAAAGGGTACTGTCATGTAGAAATGATGAGTACAGGATTCCCACTACTGATCTAAGGAGACAGATGAGTTAATCTGGAGTACTTCTTAGCAGAGACATTAAAAACTCTACACAGGCTAGGTATAAAGCCTCTGACATCACTGGAAAGATTCTCAAAAACTTCAACAAGTAGTTCCACTAAAACATGAAGGAAAGGGCTTATGGAACCTTGTAAGGCACAGCTGCACACTGTTCATGTGGGCATGTTCCATGATGAAAGCTTTATGTACACCAGCAAGTAGAGCAGCCCACTAGGAATGGGTCTGCAATGAGGATGTGACACCCTAACTATGAGACATGATGGTGGGAGAGTTGCAGAACAGAGGGTTACTTTTGACTACCACTAGTCTAATCCTAATGCCTATCAGCAGTCAGAGCACACTAGGATCAGTTTCTCCCACAAGGGAATCTAGCTTGTGTGCACCAAGAGCACTCTGAGACGAGTCTGACTCTAGCCAAAGCACCACAACTAGGTACACTGATATGTGGAACACTGTCCCAGAGAAGGCTCGAAGGAAGAATCTTAGCAATGTACATAAATACCAGAGAAATTGTGGAGTCTCCATCCTTGGAGATATTCAGAAGCTGTCTGGACATGGTCCTTGGCATCAGATCTAGGTGGCCCTGTTTGAGCAGGGGGTTGGACCAGTTGACCTCAAGAGGTCCCCTCCAACCTCAACCCTTCTGTGATTCTGTGAAAAGAAGATCTGACCGAAACCTAAAATCCTAATGTAAACACATTCATAAAATACATTGACTATCTACAGACTAACAGAGACAGAAAATGGAAGGGAAGAGAAACAAGAAAATTCACACACAGGACAGCAGCAGCAGAGCTTCTGTTGAAGGAACTGGGTTTTGGGTCACACTGTAGTATCTAACATTTCTACATCAGACACCTCTGAAGACCAAGTACCGGCAACTGAAACTTTTCAGTTACAAACCAATACTGACATCTTTTTAATACGAATTCAGATAAACAATATTTAAACTTGGCAGTCCCATTCGTGTAACAGAACCCAAACAGCTATTCATTAAAAGCTCATTAAAGCACTCCAAAAATATTGGACTGCACCACCTGCAAACCCTTCTTTCCATTCTTTGATGCAGTGAAGTGTTATGTTGCCTTACGTTTCTGTGAGGCCATATGCCAGGTCCAGCATGTCCATCTCTTCATCAGTAATGGCATCCAGTTTCTCAAATATGTGGTCTTCAAATATCAAATGACAAGTTGAACAGGCTAGTGTTCCTTCACAAGCACCTAAAGAAAATAATAAATCAAGATAACAGAAACTCAAATTTCAAATTGCAGCAGAATTTCAGTATAAATCCTCCATATACATTTGTCTCATAAAAGAAGTCACTGTTGATTAGCAAAATTAATGTTTCATGTATTTCCACATTCATATACCTACTCTGTGTTCAACTGTCAATAGTATTTTTACTACTCCTACAACATTAAATTTTTAAAAATTCTATAATTAATTAAAATACTTAACTAATTCCCTTTCTACCATATCAAGAGAGAAAAGTTTTCTATTACAAGAACACAAAAGCAGATCATGCTGTCCATCAACATTACTTTATTTATTTCCAAGGCTGATTCTTCCTCTCTTTCCCATGGTTATGAGGAGGTTTGCTCAAGAAGTTCAACAGAAGATACACAAAAATAATCCTCACAAGTACCAGTAGGAGAGATTTTATACTTGGCTTTTCTTCTCACTCAACAGAACACTAGTTGACAGCAACAAAGGTAGTCAGGCTAGAAAGAAAGGTTTTATCTCTGCTAAAGAGGCTTACATGTATTACTGGGCAATCAACTACACTTACCTGCTAGAGCAGTTAGGTCATCACAAGACAGTAAAAATTTGAATGCTACCAATCTGATCTCTGTCACTCTATCAGGCAGGCACCAAGCTCTCCACGTTGTTGAAAAAGAAACATGCAACTTCAATAGGGGTAAAAAGCTGAATACTGTGGAGATGGTGTTTGAGGCACATTGTGCTAGTTTCGACTGGGGTGAAATAAATTTTCTTCACAATGGCTAGTATGGAGCTATGTTTAGGATTTGTGATGAACACAGGGTTGATAATATGGAGGTATTTTTGTAATTGCTGAGCAGAGCTTACACAGAGCCAAGGCCTTTGCTGTTTTCCGCACTGCCACGCTGGCAAGGAAGTTGGAGGTGCATGGGAGACTGGGAGGAGACACAGCTGGGACAGGTGACCCAAACTGACCAAAGGGATATTCCATACCATATGACATCATGCTCAGTATATAAGATGGGAGGAAGAAGGAGGAAGGGGGGACATCTGGAGTGATGGTGTTTGTCTTCCCAAGGAACTGTTACATGTGATGGGCCCTGCTCTCCTGGAGATGGCTGAACACCTCCTGTCTGTGGGAAGCAGTGAATTCCTTCCTTGCTTTGCTTTGCTTGTGTGCATGGCTTTTGCATTCTCTATTAAACTGTCTACATCTCAACCCACAAGTTTTCTAGCTTTTACCCTTCTGATTCTCTCCCCAGTCCTGCTGGTGGGGAGTGAGTGAGCACCTGCACGAGGTTCAACTGATGGCTGAGATTACACCATGACACACACAAAACCCCAGGCTCCAATTCAAATTGGTAAAAGAGAAGCAGGTAACACATGAGACAATTTCCTTTTATTTACTCATTTCCAGGGAAAGCAGAACCCAGAATACTGTGACCACAACACCTCTGTACTCCTATGCAAGTAAGGGAAGTAAGGCTGTATGTATAACCACTGCTATGAAACAAACAGTGGAATTCATCATCAGACTACAAAACCCACACAGAAAGCCCCATGCTGTTACATGTAGTAATGGGATCAACAGCATATATTCAAAACAAGCACGACACTGCACTAGAAGATGTGAATTTTAAAACATATCACCTCTTCAAATGCGTGTGAAAAAGCAGAGCTTAAATAAAGTGCCAAATACAAAATTTGTGAGACCAGCAGTTAGTTTGAGCATCTTTAATGTTGGGGGGATAGGGGAGGGGTGGGAGGGAAGGAAAGAACGCTGAGCAGTCTACTTGAACACTGGAAGATCTTCCACAACTGTAAAGCTACCAGTAGCAAACAAATTGAGTGCAGGCAAATCATTCAATAGTTTTGTAAGCCTTTATACAATGGTATTTCTACTATTATTACTGCACGTGGGATGCCCTCTAGTGATAGAAGTAAATAGCTAAGATTAAGTTTTCCCCTTGTTACATTTTTTCTTCTAAACACAGAAATTACTAAACCTGATAATAAATTGAAACAGTATGATACTATCAAAGGAATCAGACACTGTTAGAAATACACCAGTTTTGTGTTGCTTTCAGAACCTTTCAGCTCAGAGGAGCCTGCAGGTAGCATCTTTCAGATTCCACCTTGACAGCACTCTGTCCACATTTCCCTCCAAATAAAGAACAGCTAGGTTTTATACATAAATTCATAAATAAATATTCCCTTACAGTTGGACTGGATAATCTTAAGAGTCTTTTCCAACCTAAATTACCCTAAATATTTATGCATAAACTGGAACACAATTTCTAGACATTGAATAGAATGTTCAGTGAATTTACTTACCAAAACCATCTATGTCTAGATTATTATCCACAACAACATCCAGCAGTGAATCCCCAGGTTTTCCTTTGGCTGTTAGTTTGTCACCATCACGGTTGATGAAATGAACAGTTATTTTATCTTCTGAGCTGAAAAAAAGTACATAATGGAATTAAAGACAGGATTCTGGAATTTTTTAGAGCTTTAGCACTTATTGAATAGTACTAAACTAATAATCACTATTAGCTCTCAGAGCAGAGAAACCTGAGTTATTGGCTTTTAAAAGCTGTAAAAGGTACAGGCATTTACTGCTGTACATTGAACAAAGACCATGAAAAACAAGAAAACAAAACCCCTTGGTGAGTGTTTTGTCACTAGAAACTTTATGGGATCCTGATGTTTTGCCTTTCACCAAAGAGAGTCAGAGCTACTTTATTTTAGGCACAATAATTGTATTTTTAACAAATAAAAGAGTTTATTTTAAATGTTTCTCTCCACACATTTCTTTGTTTGGATTCATGAAATGCTTATTGTTCTCATCATTATAATTTAGGACTAATTTTAAATTTTCCCATTTCTGCTTTTTTAAAAAGTTATTTTACTTTATTAGTTCCAAAATCTAATTCTCTTCTCCTCCCAAAAATGAAAATAGTCCAAAAGCATTCTGCTGGTTTTAGGCACAGATTCTCTTAAGAGTTCACCTTGTAAATATTAATTCTAGTGAAGCTCAATTTTTACATTGGTTTCAAAGAAAGATGGCTTTATATTTCTCTGCTTTGCTTTTCAGACAATTATTCATTTAAGAACAAATTCTCTTGCAGTCTGCATAAAAACATCTGAAGACTAAAGTTTTTAATATGAAAGAAACTTATTTTTTGCATTCCATATTATGTTTTTCACAGTAATTTTTCACAAATTAAAGCCTTTAACATACTAATAAAATACAGTTTATTTTAAATTGGCTATTTTCTTTCCTACACTAAGTGAGCAAAACACTGTTGGATGGACAGTGAAGAAATCTGCCCGGAGATAAGAGATATAACCAGAATAATCAAAAGCTAATGCAATAATTATTGTTTTCAAGTACAATCTGTGTTTAAGAACCAGAGGCTTCATATCACCTGTATTCTTTTAGTAACAGTGGGCCTTGAGTGATGTATCATATGGAAAGTATACAAGCTTGAAAATCAAGTCAAGCCCTGGAAAACTCTCCCATGTAGAGGTGAACATTAAAGCAAGAATCTGAAAGTGGCCATGCTGAAGCATCAGCAAACAAATTATTTTTATAACTGGCTGTAAAAGAAAATCTGTTTTTAACAAACTGAGTCCCAGCTTGTTATGAAAAAACCCAAATGTTTGTTGTTCCAGACTTTATGTACTTGCCACAACTGTAATCTCAGTTGGCAGCAGCACATGCCATGGTGA